GAGGGTTTTCTCGTCTCCTTTGAATGTCATTCTATCTTTCTTTTTATAGTCTTTTCGTCCTCTAACCGTCTCCGCGATCTCCGGAATCATATCTTCCACCTCGCAAGTCCGCTGGTCATGATGTGATGATAAAACTTGGGCATGGGCCTTGTTATGGATATCGGACTCAACTGCGCTCCTCGTTGTACTTCTCCGAACTCACTTGTTTGCTTTTCTGATGAGCTTGGAATTAATGGCCCCGATTTTGGATCCAACAACTATGTACAATGGTATCAAGATTCAGCATTGTTCATCTTATCTTTTAACACTCCACATCATGTGTTCTTTTTCCATCTTATCATTCAACATTTATTCAAAATTTATCTACTACAATAGTTTTATTTAATAAAATTTAACATCTTATTTTATTAATTAACATTTTTTATCGAATGAAATAAAATTATTTTCCAATATAAAGAATTTAAAAAGATAAATTTTTATATAAAATTAAAAATAAATTATTTAATTTATTATGAATTATTGATTTTAAATAACTAAAAGGATATGAATACCAAAAATCTTTAGAAATTTACATAGTCTCCAATTTCTTCTTATTCAACACCAAATCATCCTCAACATCAAATTTTATTTTTCAAAACCCAAATTGTAGTGATTCAGTGCCTCCATTGTAGACAGTCTTATGTTTGCTTCCAAAATTATAACAACGAAAAGGTGTTCGGAACTTTGAAACATCACAAATTTCTTAAATAAAAATTACTTTATTATATTTTCATAATATAAAAATTGTGGGACATAATGTAATTTTTCATTCATTTGAAAATTTTAGTATATTGATTTCTTTCTTTTATTATTTTATTGCATGACTTAATTACAGTGAAAGTTCACCTACTATAGTATTGTATAAGAATATATGATCATATATATTTTTAGAGTGTTGGAAGTAAATAATTGAACTAATTGTATGTATAATATCTTATTTTATATTATTAAAGTATAAGGCTTTTATTTGATAACATGAAACATGATGATGAGGTAAACGTAAGGGAGAGGAGGGGGTGTGGAATTGGAGACATATCCACTAATAATGATGATATAGCTTGGAGTTAATTGTAACATGTATATTAACATTTAATATTAATATGTTTTGGTAAATTTTGAAAATATGGTAAAAACTTATAATTATCATTAACATAACAATAAATAATATAATAGTAGAAAGATAACAATATTTACAAATTTTGAAATATTTTTAAGTCTATTTTTTATAATTATATAATTTTTATCAATAATGTTTTTCAAAATTTTATTAGGATTTTTTAAAAATTATAATTTTCTAATTCGAATGCCGTTAGTTTTAGGGAATTTGGCACCAATAACCATACAAAATAAGTTAACAATTAACCATAAAAACTCAATGGCTAGAATATTTTATGTATAATATGTATTAATTCCCTTTTTATCCTTAAATTCCAGACGCACATATTTTGTTTTGCTTCTATAATATACTTTGTTCTCTTTCTCGACAATACAATCATATCTTTTTCTCCATCCTATGACTCTTCTTCGATGACGATGAAAAATGTATTGATTGAAAAACTAATGTTACAGTTGGTATTCAATCAGTGACGAAATTAAGAGAGTTAATTGTGTTAGTTGTTCTGAATAAACGTGAAATGTATGAATAGAAAAATCAGACAATGAGTTGAAGAAGAAGATAAACTAACGTGAAATGTATGAATAGAAAAATCAGACAGTGAGTTGAAGAAGAAGATAAACTGTACTATGTATGTTGCATAGTCTATTCTATTTCGATTATACATATAGAATAGAAATTAAATTTTAGTTAAGATAGTATATCAATTTTTTCTTTGATCTCCTACGGTGGTTTATTTTTCTCATCCATTAATCCAACGACAACTCTACCAACCACTCCTCATATGTCTCCTTATTTCAATTATCACATCTGAAAAAATGTTTAGTTCAATTGAGATGTATTGTTCTATTCTATTTGACGTCATGGAATAGAATGTTTCCTTTATAATATCCCTTTGTATACATGTCTTTATCCTTGCTATGTATTCCATCATTTTCCCTACATGCTTCTCTTTTCCTCTAGCTTTTGTTTTTCTTCACATCTCACTCTTCTTCACCTTTCACCCTTCTTCTGTTTCTTATTCTTTCTCTTTTTGTTTTCTTACTCCTCTTCTTTTTCTTTCTTCCTCATATTCTTACTATATCTCTCATTCACCTAGATTTCCTCGGTTATGTAATATATTTTGGTTTTTATTATGTTCAGTGGGCTTGATGCCTTCTTTTTGTTTGCATTGCTAATGCATTTGATAATGAAATATGCTATACTATTTTATTTTACAGTCATAGTATGACATGTTACAATATGTATCATTTTTTTTCATCTTTCTTCACATCTATTCTTTTCATCCACCAGCGCTATCAACAAAATTCATTCTTTCATCCATGTTAGATACAACTTTTTCCGCCATCACATACATTTTTTATTCTATCAGAAAAGATGAATTTTTTTATGTTCTAGTCTCTTATAAACATATAGAATAGAAATATAACACTATATTATTTGTTGTTATCCAACCGGTGGCATTGCCACAACCCCACCACCAGTTGTTTTAGCAACACCACCGTCTTTTCTTCCACCACCATCGCCATCCACCGTCTCCTCACCTTCTCCTACAATGTCTTCTTCTCTTTCATTGCAAATATTGTATGACTATATTATCTGAGAAAATTTTACAGTATACATACCTAAATAAAGTATGTGCATATATGACGTCTTTAGAAGATACTAATAAACGGTGCAATGTTTTAGTGTAGTTCAGCTATACCAATTGCGTGCATGAGTTTGATGTTGGTGTGTCTCATTTGTCTATTTTATATAGAAACTTTATGTAGTTATAGTTTATCAGTTGTGATTGACTCTTTCTGAAACCCAATGTGGTCTAATAGCCACCGTGACGAACAAGTTTATTAAAGTGAATTATGTATACATGTTAGTTTCGTCCTTCTCAATCACAGTTGTTGCGCTTTTGGTGTGTAGTTCTAATATTTCAGTATATATCCGTGTTCGAAAACGCGGACGCGTTGGCGACTACTCGCCCGTCTAGTCACTGTTTGGAGCTCTGCAGCCGTGAAAAAGAGCAAGTCGGAGGCTCAACTCGGTGAACCGATTTTGTCCCGTACAGTCCACGTAAATCTGAAACTCGCCCGTGTAAATCCAACTCGGTTCAATGTAATTAAGTTTAAATTTTTCGAAACTGATATTCAACAAAATTTGAATCCAACAAATGTAATACTTTGGGACAGATTAACATATTTGAGACATAAACCACATAAAACTTGTTGATTTATAAGATTACAGTTGTTGGCGGCAATAGATATAAATTCAGGGCTCGAAAACCCTAAAACAAAATTGGGAAGATGATGGAAAATTTACCGTTATGCCACTCATTAAAAGAAAAAAAGCAAAATGAGTTCATGTGGAGTCGTACCCAAGATATGGAGACTAATCTCTTCTCTTCTCACCACCGGGCCACAATAATATATTTGAAAATGACCTGCAGAGTATATAATATCATGGACTTCATCTGAAACTGAAATTAAGATTCAAAACTAATCCTCGATTAATCCCCGATTTTATGTTAAGTCGCTAGGCGTCAGCCAACCGCCCGACTAACGCCTAGCGTAATTTCGAACACAGGTATATATCGATATATATACATTTGTAGCTGAATGCTTGTCATGCATGGTGTGAATTCTCTGACTATACTATATGGAAACTGTCATATATGTTAATATTCTTATGCTGTCATACTAACTTTGACCCTCCTTCCCTTCCCAAATTTGGTTATGCATTGTGGACATACATAAAAATGAAAGGTTTATCTGTTTGTGTCGAGTATTCCATACTATGTCGTAATTAAGTATAATATAGCCATTTAATCCTTAAAATCCAATTTTGTAACTAGTAAATTACTTTGTGTGACTATATTATATGATATGTAGTATAGTACGACAATTTTAGTTTTTTGAGCGTTAACATCACACGCACTGGAAGAAGATTTTGGTCAAGTTTGTGCGCAAATTATCTCATCCACTGATTTGTCAACTGTACCATAGCTATGTTCTTAATTTTTCAATCTCTTATGAATATCAAGCAAATCGTCTCTTAGTTTTATTTATAACATCTATAAAATTTAGAAATATTATTTAATTTTATATTTTGATAATTATATACCTAATAAATTTTCTTTTAATTGTATAGAATCTTATTTAACATATTTTAACCAAAATAAAAAAGAAAAAAATCTTTCTAAATTTTTAATTTTAATTTTAAATATATACATATATATTATTAAATATAAATTTAAATAATTTTTTTTATCTTAATCTTAATTTTTACATATAATTAACGTAAAATTAATAATGTAACAATATAATAAATTTGAAATTAATTAAATTTTATTTTTAAATATAATTTTATTTTTTTAAATTTTATTTTTGCACAAGGTGCAGGAAAATACCTAGTGTGAAACTAAAAACATTAAAATTAAAAACTTAAAACGTAAATAAACACAAAAGTTGTGCACTACAAATCGAAGAAACACACATATTTTGGCTTTTGTTTAGAGTTTGATACTTATTTTTTAGTAATAGTTTTTATAAAAAACATGTTAGGGATCACCTTTAAATTTCTAATTGGAAAACAAATTTTTTTGTTTTTCATGTAAAAACAAGTCAAAACCATTTTAAGAACTAAAAGTACAAACAACAACTACAAATTTTACCAAAAAAAAAGTACAAACAACCAACCAACACTATTGAAGAAGGCTTGTGGAGGTTTTATATTAGAAAAAGAAGTTATCAACAGAATGGGTCGTCAAAATATCAATAATTATTAAAATAGTGTATAGATCGACATGGGCCGAGCTAAGCCCAGGAAGCTTTCCCTTCCTCAACGTCTTTTCAACAGTTTTGAGCTTTGGTGCGTTTCCAGCAAACAAACACGAACTCCTACGTTTCTCGGATCCGTTCGCACTGTTCTGATCTCCATCTGTGATGGTTAGTCCTCATTCTCAATAGGATACTGTAAAATCGAGGACGAAACAAGTCATGGTCCGTGACATGAACTATCGAAGGTTTGATCTCTGATTCCTCTCTCTCTCTCTCTCTCTCTGCATCCGATCCACCCATTGAATCTGATTCTGTCCTATAAACCATATTTGATCGAATTTTACACGGATCTATTCAATTTTCCAACTCATTGACCTAATCCAGAGTTCGAATTACAGTTTTCGAGATTTCGATTTTGCAGGGAGAATCGTGCATCGAGAACATCTCTCTTCGACGGACTCGATGGACTTGAGGAAGGTCGCTTGAGGGCTTCCTCTTCTTACTCTCATGATACCACCGAACGAGACAATGACGAAGCGCTTGAAAGTCTTCAGGACAGAGTATCATTTCTAAAGAGAGTAAGTTTCTTTTAATCTCTACAGTTATTAATCAAAATATCATTATTACAGAACATAAACATGATTAAGATCTAGAAATGTTTTGCGCGTCTGTAACTATTGCCTGTGATCTGAATTGTCTGAGAAAGAATTTCTTGAATTAATCTTGATATCAAGAAAATCATGTAAATTGTGAATCTTTGGACTGTCTGTACGAGACGATTCCTTTTTGTCTACAAAACTAGATTTTGCAATAACGCTTGCCTTAGATGTTCTAAGTTGGTGATAATATCTTATCAGGTGACTGGAGACATACATGAGGAAGTTGAGAGTCATAACCGCATGCTTGACAAAGTGGTAAGCTTAAGTTTTGATGCCATTTGCTTGAGTTTGTACATGTATCTTTCTAAGCATGCTTTTCTTCTAAGCCGTTTGTTTTCTTCTATGTCTAGGGTAACAAAATGGACTCTGCGAGGGGAATAATGTCAGGAACAATCAACCGTTTCAAGTTGGTATGTGAAATTTGATTGGGCACTATTTTAGCTTTCATTATTGCTCAACCTTTTAGGTGTCACACCCCTTATTGACAGGTCTTTGAGAAGAAGTCGAATCGAAAAAGTTGCAAACTCATAGCGTATTTTGTGCTCCTGTTCTTGGTCATGTATTACCTTATTAGGTAAAACCGCATTTGTTAATAATAGTTATCCAAACATTTGACGTATCTCGAACACATTGTTTTCTATTACCATCCTAGTTTCGGGCTATGCTAATGGCACGATTATCATTTGGATTTTGCAGACTATTAAACTACATCAGAGGGTGAACTTGGATGCAGGAAGAAAGTAGATTGTTACATCAATACTCAATTCGTTTCATTTTTGGGTTTCTTCTGATGAATGATTCAGGCAAATTGAACTAGTCAAGGGACCCATGTTAAAAACAAGGTCAAGAAGAGATTTTTGTCAAGAGACTAATGAACCGAAAGAAAAGGGTAGATAGAAGCACGTTTTTTTTTGGTCCCAAGCACGTGTAATAATAATGTTCATGAATTGCCAACTATTTAGATCACCAACAAACAAGGTCTTGGACCGCGTGTTAGCAACTGTCTACCAAAAGCTTAATTGATAAGTTTAATTATTACCTTTATTCTGCTCGACTCCGCTAGTAGATGTAGTTTTAAAATTGATAATGAGTTTTTCTTGGATTCATTTCATAGGATGATTCTATAGGTTTAATAACCAAATATAATTATATATTTTATATTTAATATTTTTAAAAAGGAAAAAAATAATATGGATTTATAAAATCATATTATATTTTTAAAATAATAAAAATAATAATTATCAGAAGAATAATTTTTTTAATATTGTTATGACGTCAGCAAAATATTAAACTCTAAATCTTAAAACTAAATTTTAAACTATTGAGTAAATTTAAAACCCTTTGATAAGTTATGAACTCTAAGATTTAGAATTTATCTGAAGGTTTATGTTTTAAGATTTAGAGTTTGGTTTATGGTTTAAGAGTTTAGGGTTTGGTCTACAATTTTATGATTAAAAGTTTGGGGTTTAGTATTTAGGATATACCCAAGAGTTCAGGATTAATCCAAGGGTTAAAGATTTATCTAAAGATTTAGTGTTTAGTATTTTGTTGGAAGCGTTAATAATATTGAAAAACTTTTTTTGTTAATTACTTCTAATTTTTATTATTTTAAAATAAAATATTAATTTTTTTTTTTAAATCAAAAATCTTCCAAATTTTGCATTTAAAAAAAAATCCTAAAATTTAAAAAATTCAAAGAAAATGCAAAAAATAAAGTTACAATTATTAGATAAATGTTTAGCAATTGTTTTTAAAAAATGAAAATTTGGAAGATTTTTCATTTTTTAAAGAAAAAATAAAATTTTATTTTAAATTTTAATTTCAATTTCAAAATTAAATTTATGAAAATTTTCTTTATTTTTTGATTTTTTTGGATTTTAAAGATTTTTTAAGTTTTTAGAGAATTTTTTTTATATTCAATCACTACCAAATAAAATTAAATGTGTTAGTAATTTCATTGAAACTTTCACTAGCCCAGTGGTAAACTTGTTTTTATTTTCATATCGTGTAAATAAATAACATCAATTTTTTCATTTAAATTTGCTGACGGCGTGTTAAATCCCTAGGTCAATGGCGGTGGCCTTCGGTGACCTTCAACTCGAGTTCGTCTCCACCGGAACTATGGCAAATCTATGCATTCAATGGCAGTGGCCTTCGGTGACCTTTAACTCGAGTTCGTCTCCACCGGCGGTGATACAACAAAATATATTTCCAAGGGCACGAACATCTGAACAAAGAAAACCTGAGTACTGTCTTCGTCTCTGCAACTTATGTCGACTTCTCAATCACCTTCACCTTCTGCAGCAACCCCGCCAACCATAAACCCGAGATGCCCCTTTGACTCTTATTCCTTAGACGTCGCATGTTCATCTGCTTTACAGCTACTCCATTGACGTTTGTGTCATGCTGTAAGCCTAATCACCAAAGGTCTTCCTTCCGATGAACTTAATGTGATTCTGACCATAATTTATCACCAACATCTTCTCCTTTATACGAGAGTGAAACCATGCTCCACCTGCTTCAAATTCAGACTCAACAAGTAATCTTTTAAACACCCCTTTTATATTGTTTAGAACTGATTCCCTTCTCATTACTTGAACAAGAAACTAAATTATCCTCTGTTTCTTGTATTTGATGACTTGACGCCAAAGAGATCCCGTGTTGCTTGCTTGTGTCCTTTTGATCATGAGGTCATTATACAGGTAAACACTCAATTTACTCATGTCCGACAGAAGAGGAGGAAATTTTCTTCAGAAAGAGACGAAATCATTAACAAGGAGGTCAAGAACATGCTCGATGCTGGATTCATAAGGGAGGTGCAGTAGCCTGAGTGGCTGGCCAACATCGTCGTAGTAAAGAAGAAGAATGAAAAATGTATGGTTTGCATCAATTTCACCGACCTCAGAAAATCATGCCCTAAAGATCTTTTCCCCTTGCCTCACATCGACAAGCTGGTCGACGCCACCGCAGGCCATCAGCTCATGAGTTTTTTGGATGCCTTCTCAGGCTACAACAAAATTCTCATGCATTTAGATGACCAGAAGAAAACTTCCTTTATGACCCCCAGAGGCATCTACTGCTACAAGGTCATGCCTTTCGGTTGAAAAACGCTGGTTCAACATATCAGAGGCTCATGAACATGATGTTTTCCATTCAGATTAGACAAACAATGGAGGTCTACATAGATGACATGCTCGTCAAGTCCCTCGAAGTAGAAGATCACATCTCCCATCTACAGCAAGCATTCGTCACTCTCAGGAAGTACAATATGAAGCTTAACCCATCAAAATGCTCATTTGGAGTCAGCTCTGGTAAGTTCCTGGGAACATAGTTACCTTCAAGGGTATCGAGGCCAACCTAGAGCAGGTGTGATTTACCATGGTTTTGACCCACTTTTAACCATGGGATTGAGATGATTTTACAGTATATATATATATATATATATGTTTGAAAATCTATTAGATATGTTTTCAAGTTCATGAGCATTTTGGAGTAAAGTGATGATTTAGGTGCCCTTAAGGAGAGTTTTCCCGAGACAACTATGAAGATCAGACAACAAGGTCGATATCCAGAGATACATACCGTTCGATACACATCCTGTGTAATCAATCGACGATGCTTCCGTAGAAGATGACGAGTCGAGATACTCCATTGATCGATGTACGCCTTGTACCATTGATCGATATCGAGCGTGAAGAATAAGTTTGACTCAGCCGACTTGAAGCCCAAGTTCTCTCAATATTACAAGATTGCCCCTGACGAGTTTTTAACCTAATTGAACTCATATTTATAGTTATGCCTATGTGTTTTGGCAGAGTATGCTTTATTCTATGTATGCTTTTTATGCTTATTAATACTCTTAGTTCTTTCATTTATAAAAGTATTCTTTTCATCTTATTCTGATTTTCATCAAAGGTTATAGAGTTCTAGATTTAGAAGAATATACAAAGAGATTTGTTGTTCAAAGGAACCAAGTGTTCAATCTTCTAATCTTATGAATTTCTATTATTACCTTGATGCTATGAATCACTTAGCCATGTCTGAGTAGATTCACTTGTTAGATTTGGGGTTCAAATAGTTATGAGGAATTACCCCCAACTATGGATTGTTGATTTGGGATATTCATTATCCTGATGAACCCTAATGCTTACTCTAGAGTAGCTAACTAGAGTATGATCCTAGAATGATTTAAGTTGTTAATCATCATCCTGAAATCATTTGGCATAAGCTGAGATCCTCTAGGGACGAGCGAGAGCCGGTCTATGATCTTGGTGAACACATATTCAATTCGATCTGAAGCTATATCGATCGATACTCCTATAGAGTAATCGATCGACGGCAACCTATATCGTCCGATTTCGCTGTCAAAACATCGGTCGATATTGCCGGCAATCAGATCAATGGACGAGTCTAGATAGTGATTGCTAATAACTTATCTAAGAATTGAAGTTCTTTAATATCTTGCAAGCAACTTATTAAGACATCTGTAGCATTATAATCCTGATTATCTGAATAGCAACCTTGAATCTAACTACTTTCTTTTATTGTTTAAAACCTAAACCAATTCTCTTGAGCAACTCACCATTGCTCACATCTGCAATTTACTTTTAAACTTAATCAACCTAGCATAATCACTAAGGATTATATCTTTTGTGTTCCTTAGTTCCTTGTGGATTCGATCCCTAAGTACTATAACTGAACCTCTTATTTGAGAGAGTAATTCACTCCTTAGGGTAATTTGAGTGATATCAAATCTGGCGCCATTGCCGGGGAACTTTGATCGCCATTAGATTTAATCTGATTAGGTTTAGGTTACTTGTTACTGCTTAATCATCTTCTGACACAAAAAAAAAATTCTTGTTTTTTTTTCAGGTATATGCCCAGCAGTACTAGAAGCAACAAGAACACCTAACTTATGTACTAAGAAGAACCCCACAGTTTGGAACGTAGCATCCGCAGAGACTTACGTTCCGCATCGATCGACATCAACAACTGTTCGTCGACCGACACTCGCTTACCACAGTCGACCGAGACACCTTCTTCGTCGACCGATACTCGCACCTTTCCATCGATCGACATAGACAACCGTTCGTCGACCGAAATATTTCATCCGACATCGATCGATATACCTCATCTTAAATCGATCGATACTTACCGGCGAGACATGGTAGCGACTATTATTCTCACTACTGATGAGAATGGAGACCTGCGTGATCAAGATGGTCACCTGCGTAATGCAGCAAGTCAGAAGCTGAATGCTCAGAAGGAAATCATTCCTGAGCAAGAAACTGCACCTACAGACCTCATTCAACATGTAGAGGAGGCTAAAAGAGCTAGAACTTTGGCTGACTACAACCGTCCGGATCAGTTCTATACCAACCAATCAGCCATCCGCCCTCCTGCTATTCAGAGAGGAGATTTCGAGCTCAAGCCGTAAAACTACACACTTGTAGGACAAATACCCTTCTGTGGGTTGTCCCATGAGCATCCTATGGACCATCTGGAGAGGTTAGAGGATCTCATAACTGTCATAAACGCCAATGGAGTCCCTCAAGACTATCTTCTTTGCATGCTTTATATACTCTTTATCTCGAGAAGCTTTGCAGTGGCTGAGGCAACTACCACCAGGTTCTCTCACAACCTGGAGCGACATCAAAAACGCATTCCTGCGTAACTTCTTTGATGACTAACGCGCTGAAGAATGGAGGAGGAAAATTGCTACATTCACTCAGGATCCTAGAGAATCATTTAAAGATACATGGAACAGATTCAAATCCTACCAGCGAGATTGTCCACACCACGGATTCAACAAAGTGCAACTGCTCTACACTTTCTACAGAGGCATTACTTTGAAGTATCAGATGGCTCTTGATACAGCTAGTGAAGGTAACTTCAGCACCAGGAATCCGCAAGAAGTTGTGAAGTTAATTGATATCCTAGCTTCAAGCAACAACACAAAGAACACTGTGAAGACAAAAGCTACATCATTCCTTGGGAAGGAACAAATTAATGAAGTGCAAGCACAGCTGGATAATGTTCA